GGCCAGTGCATTTTTCTAGCCTTTCGATTATTCTCTTCACTGATTGCTTGTGTTCCAAGTGATCATATACGATCGATTTCTTGAACTCCTATGCCACAGAACTCGTAAAGTCTCTCGAACAAAGTCAGACATTTGAAGCCGTGTGACTACTATGTTACTCACCTTTTGCAAAATCCTATGGAGCAGTCGACAGTCGAGAACGAGTGATTTGTCCAGTTTGCTGTAATTCTGGGATGAAATGTTTGAACTGAAGATAGGAAAAGTTATAATTTCTAATAAAACTACTCACTACGTACCGTTTCATAGTTTTTCGGGCTACACCATTTATATCCATAAATTCTGTCTTGCATATCAAGAATCTTACGGCAGGTTCAAGTGAAAATGAACTCATCTGACTGTAACTGGTTTTGTTTATGCGGGCTTAGACCCGAAGGTATTTCACACGGTTACCACATACTTTCATTCTTCCCTGTTGCCTATTTCTTAATTTTGACGGGATAAAATGCTATGTAATGTCTCCTGAAGTTGCTAGGAGCTAGCAAAAGGCCAATTCGCCGACCAGACAGTTGAGCCGCAACTTATTCATCTAACTTCGAAGTACTGTACAGATTCTTATCAGTCGACTAAGAAGGGCGAACTTGTGGTTTTCTTTTGCAGACGGTTGCTACCTTTCTGAGCCCATTTGGGACGAGCTGTTTCTTTGCTTGCTGTCAATCGAGGTAAATGACTTCATTGAAACTTATGATGTAAGTGTTATCAGTGTACCGTTGTATTTGGTCGGTACTGGGTGTATTCTCGATAATCAGTTTGGTGCGTGGCGGGCGGAGCAGTATCGTCGGTGTATCTTTGTAGGAGGCATGCTGTAGCACCAGTAGACACTGAGCGTCTTTGAGCGTGAACTCGTTCACGTAGAATAGCATGGCGTGTGCGCTTTCGATGAGTTGTAGTGCATTCATTGTTCCTTTTTTGGTCCCTTGACCTTCGTTACAGCTCACGTAGCACTGTGGGAACAGTTCAGCTGCGATTGCCAGCAGTGAACTGTAAAGTATGCTCGTTGACAGCATTTATTTGGAGAAATTAATATTGTGGTTAGAGAGTGAAGAAGTTTTGATACCTGTTGTGCCAGCGTTGATCAATGAATCCACAAATGAACAGAGCTCGACCTTTGAATTTCTCCATGCGCGTTATTGTTGTTCTGACGAATTTTCGCTCCATTTTTTGCCTAATTGCATCAACGCATTTTTTTCAGTCCTCTGTAAAAACCGAACAGATTTTTTTGTCTTTAACTGAGATGAGGCTTGTTTGCGCAGCAGCATACTGCGTTGGCGGTAAACATTGTCAAGATATTTGAGCCTCTCTGAAATTTGTGCCTGCCTAAATCTCCGGAGTTAATGATGTACGAAGGCCAGTCTCCTGACACTCTTCTTTATACATTTTTTTTATGAAAGCGAATTATCCTTTATTTCTTCAAGAGAGAGAGAGAGAGAGGATTGAGGGAGGGGAGAATATCGGCAGTGTCTGAGACTTGAACCATTCAGTGCGGGTCTTGTGGAGACGAAAATGCCTTACTTGGCACCCCATTAATGTGAAATTCATTTGCGGAACGACTGAATTGCAATTTTTTTAAAATGCGATTACACAAAAACAGAGGAAGGTAATTTTTCTAGGGTTTTTTTTTTGGGCTGACGTTTTACAGAAGTGTAGATTTCTATTTCATCCAGCGCTTTTCAGTCTTAAGCTTTTCTTTTTGCCTCGAAATTCCTTATTGTGCTCCAGACGAAGGTGTTGCAGAAAGGAACTTCTAAATTGAGGAGCAGTAAAAAGAAGATATTAAATTGGGAAGCTTAAGGGGGCAGCGAATTGTGTTTCGGCCGAAACTCCTCACGGATCTTGTTCTTAGTAAATTTTTATGCGTTTTGTGCTGTGTAGCAACATTACAAAACGCATATTGTCACGGGGTTGTTTGTTTGTGTGTATATCCCACATTTTATCCCGCACTTTCAACTCGGGAACCACAAAAGCTAGGCGGCTGAAATTTTGGTAT